GACACCAAATAAGTACCGTTGTATGGAATTAATGTACAAGAACAGGAAGCAAAAGTAGGGAGGAATTTAGATTTGAATGAGGAAAGAGAAATTCAATTTAAAGGTACTCTGCAAATGTGGTGTTTGTATTCATTTACACTCAGATTTGTTCAGCAAATAAACTGAAATAGACTTGCAAACATGTCAGTTTTTCACCTGGTTTTTACTGTAATCAATCAAAATTTGCTTGGGTTTGTTACAAAATGCCACTGACTCAATCTAACCTAGTTGACATCTCATTGGTGGACTTTAAGCACACCAGGGACCGGGACTGAATTCATATTATGAGTTTAAACGTTTAAATGCTGAGATGGTAAATTTAAAGGTTTAACAGAAGTTATGTAAAATCTGTTTGGATGTTGAGCTTTTTATGGTGCTCCTCCTCCCTGCTTAATGACTGATTATTGTAGATATCTGACTCGGTTTTTCTCTTTATTCCCGCATTAAGCAGCAGACTTAATCCATATTTCTGAACATGCTGTATCAGTCCACCATATTGGTACACAGACTACAGTCAGCCTGAAATCAATCATGTGACTCGAGCATCCTCTTGGGTTTTTTAGCAAATTTTGCTGAGTGCTTTGTTTATGTTGACTGTGTACCCACGTTTCAGGATTGCTTATCGAAGATATGGAAAACTACAGGAGGATTTTTGAAATTGCTTCATTTGATTCAGGATAACTTTTTATGTTTGATTTTAGAGTTTGCAGTGAGTAGCTGCAGGGTTTCCCGCAGTGTATGGCTGGCTGCCAGTCTTGGGATATATTTTTCAAATCTTTTGACTGAACCAAAAGATGTAAAGAGACTAGAATTGGAAGAAATTATGTCAAAATGAATCTAAACAACAAGATTTTCTTTTTTTGCTGGAAGTCAAATACAAAAATGCATGTACTAACTTGTCGAGGTTTTCCACCTGTGAAGTCAGAGGAAGAGAAGGGAAACAAAGTGAGAGAAGGAGGTTTAGAGCTCAGCTTGGTGGAGGGAGAAGAAACAGAACATGTCAATACGTGACAAAGACTGTTCACAACAGAAGATACGGTGAGACGCAGGCAGTGAGCATGACGTGACACGAGACATGCGGTTATTGTCAACAAGCTCTGTGGAAGAAGGACGGCATTGTTTGTCTGTCAAATCATCTGCTGTCACTCTGACCCAAAATGAGTCAGTCGACTGGCACAAAACCTTTGCKGCTCCGCTCCTCTCGTCCCCGCTGCACTAATGCTTTTCAGAGTTATGTAAATCAAAGTTTCTGCCAAAAAAAAAAAACAACCTCAGCCTACTTTCTGTGCCACCACACTTAGTCAAATCTTTGTTGTGCTCTGATACCCCGTGAATAATGATAAACACCACAACAAACATCAGAATCACAAAATCTGCCTCGCGCTCACGTTTCACACATCCTGTTTGTGGTGCACAGCTTTTTACCTAAACYTGTTCACGAGGAAAGAAAAAACAAGGCCCGGAAGAGTACAGACGTGAAAGCTGCACGAGATCTCAGCGGATTTTTATGAGTGAGGCTAAATGCAACGACAGACCACATCTGCCGCTTCAAGAACAACCATTATCCAAATTATAGGAGGCGGCCTGGKGAGTTCTTCACGGTGCTTTTATTACATACCGCCATGGTTAGATTGAGTTTTTCCTAGAATCTTTATAAAAGCCAAAGACTGAGTGGTGAAAAAAATRGCAACAAAAAGGGAAGAAAAAAACATTGTTTTAAAAAGGCTGAAAAAACTGATGAAAAATTACCTTGAACTTTAATGTAAGTAAATGAAAGTGATTTAGTGAATATATTGGATCATGCAGGGATGAAACATCAGTTTAGTGGTTCAGTTGTTTCACAGTGAATCTCAGCCGAAGCCTTTCTGTGTGGAGTTTACATGTTTCTGTGCACGTGTGTGTGTGTGTGTGTGTGTGTGTGTGTGTGTGTGTGTGTGTGTG